GGAAATAGCTGCGCCGTGAGCGGCTCTGGTGCTGTTTGGGCCGCAGCCACTCGCAGCACTGCTTCAACAGTTATCCTTCTAGTTTTTTCTGGCTTGCAGGCTGGTAGATTCTCGCACGAGGGGAAAATCAGCTCAGGTTGTATATTTATGTTTTGCACAGGCATTTGTTTACTGTGAAGTAAAGTTGAAGTGCTGAAGTTTTGAAAACTAATTTTGAATAAAACTTGAAGAATAACTGGCAATTGCTTGCTCATTTTAAGAGGTCTTTCATATTTTATAACATGCTATTTGATATAATGGTTTACAAACACAAAAGGGTAATTTATTAAAGTACTCGATTAATCGATAAAAGATTCGATAGAGTACTCGATTACAAAAATATTCGATAGCTGCAGCCCTACAATCAAGTAATAAATAACATAAATTCTTCACTTTTGGACTTTATTGCAAATATAAAAAGTCTAATATAAAAACGGATAGCACTTCAACTTAAAATACCTGGCAGGGGTCTATTTTGCCTCTACCCCCAAAATGCTTAGATACGCCCCTGGGCATGGGACGGAGTTTTGAAGGTTATCTGAATTGTATCAACTATATAAATACTACATGCTGATAAATTATTGCTTTATACAGGTACAAATGTTAGTGGGATAAATCTACCTACATTTTATTTTTTAAGAACCTTGTTTTGTTTTCTTGGTTTTTATTTTCCTGTCCTCCTGTCCTGTCTGTCTCTGATCTTCCTGCATCTCCCAGTCCTCCAGAAAAACTCCTGCCTGCTCCCTTCTTTTTCACCTCACAATAACTCTTTCAATAGCAGATCAAATTGATCTATTGACCGCAAAAAATGCGGAGTAAGCGCTGCGCCAGTGACGAGTGCTGCAGCGCGAGCGCGTCCACACGTCATGCTCAAATACAGACAGAACTTACCAGAGAGAAAATGAACGGACACGAATGACTGTGTGTTAATTGTATATTTTTGGAGACGCCACTTAGAAACATAGAAAATGTTACTGTGGCCGTGTGCAGAACGCAGCTGGAGTTCATGAATAATCAACGGTCTGCCTGCTGCTCTGCATCCCTGATAGATAGATAGATAGATAGATAGATAGATAGATAGATAGATAGATAGATAGATAGATAGATAGATAGATAGATAGATAGATAGATAGATAGATAGATAGATAGATAGATAGATAGATAGATAGATAGATAGATAGATGGATGGATGGATGGATGGATGGATGGATGGATGGATGGATGGATGGATGGATGGATGGATGGATGGATAGATAGATAGATGATAGATAGATAGATAGATAGATAGATAGATAGATAGATAGATAGATAGATAGATAGATAGATAGATAGATAGATAGATAGATAGATAGATAGATAGATAGATAGATAGATAGATGACAGATGATGGATGGATGGATAGATAGATAGATAGATAGATAGATAGATAGATAGATAGATAGATAGATAGATAGATAGATAGATAGATAGATAGATATAGATAGATAGATAGATAGATAGATAGATAGATAGATAGATAGATAGATAGATAGATAGATAGATAGATGATAGATAGATAGATAGATAGATAGATAGATAGATAGATAGATAGATAGATAGATAGATAGATAGATAGATAGATATTATTTATTGTCATTAAATGATTGTCCATTCAACGAAATTTCCTAGAGCTTCACATTAGGCATCTGCTAAAAATACTAAGAAAAATAAAAAATAGCTAAAACAAGTACAATATGCAACATACAATAAAAACAAAGACATTACAAAATACAATGAATAGTATCAATGTAGTTTATTTTTCTGTCCATTCAGGGTCCTAACAGCCCAGGGAAAGAAACTCTTCCTCAGTCTGTCGGTCCTGAAGCTGAGGGATCTGAACCTTTTCCCAGAGGGCAGCACGGCAAAAAGGTAGTGGTTTGGGTGGTAAATGTCCCTGGAGATGGTCCTTGCTCTAGTGAGACACCTCTGCAAGGCGATAGTGTCCAAGGAGGGGAGGGTACATCCAATCACCATTTCCGCCGCTCTGATGACCCTCTGGTATCTGTTTTTGTCAGCTACTTTGCACCCCGTGTACCACACAGGGATAGCGTAAGTCATCACGCTCGATAGAAAGACACCAAGAGGTTGGTCTGCAGCCTGTTCCACTTCAGAACCCTCAGGAAGTGCAGCCGCTGTTGTGCTTTTTTGGCCAAGGCAGTGGTATTGATTGTCCATGACAGATACTCAGAGATGTAAATCCTGAGAAACTTAAAAGAATCCCTGCTATGCTGAGTCCATATAAATAATATAATATGGGTAGAAACTGGATCTTTTTTGTGCTCCTTCTGGGTGTGTAAGTTAAGGGCATCAGGGAAGCCTGACTACCTTTAAGGAGAACCAAGTTGCTCTCCTGTGATTTGAACCCAGTATCCGAGTCCGGATCGGGGCTTGGATCGGGATGTAAAGCCCGAGTCCCGATCGAGTCTGAAACCACATAATCGGGGCCGATTTCCAATCTTGTGATCAGATCGGGACATCCCTAGTTGAAACACACCACCCCCAGTCTGCCAATCCAGTGGAACTGCCCCTGATGTCCACGCGAAATTACTACTTAATATTCCAGATTATATACCTTAATACATAACGGACCACCTGATAAACAATACTAAATAACATACCACATAATATATCATACTACAGTACATTACCAAACAAACTGTCATACTACATAATCTACCTCCCTACATACCACCGTATCTCCAAATAACCTTCATCCTACTTTAGAAGATCCCATTGTCCATACAGCTTCTGATACATCTGAAAGCTGAACCTCACTGCTCTCATCACTCTTTTCCTTTGTGATCAACAGAAACAAATGGTTTTGATTGGATATGAGCCGATTATCAATCAGACGATAATGAAAACAATAGACAGTGGGGACAACACAGGGCACCAGTTCACCACACATAATATACCAAATTATATACCCATAAAATTCTATTATACTTGATATAGAGCTCCGGGAGTTGATGTCACTTCTCCCGGCATGCAACAGTTCAAATCGAAACGGCGCCATATTGGCAGGCAGAAGCCCGCAGCTGGACTATTTGTTATTGTCAGAAAACTCAATAAAGGGAAATATGGTAGATTCCTGTTGTGCCCCAGGATGCAGAACAGACGCGGACGACATAAGGAATGAGCCATCTACAGGATTCCCCAAGATCCGGAGCGCCGCAAACGTTGGATCATTGCAATACAACGCGCTAGTGACCAGGCTGAAATGAAGCTGTGGGACCCCGAGAGTAAAGGTTTTCACTTATGCAGCGACCACTTCATATCAAGTACTTAAACCAACGTTTCCTCAACTGTGTATGGTATTTATTTTAAATGCTTTTATTACGATTCTTAGTGGGCTTCCTAAATTTATTTTGGCGTGGCTTTTTCTGTCTTATTACTCATAGCAGCAAGTAAACATCACGTAAAACGTTGCCTCGTGATTTCTGCATGCTGACGTTTACGTGTTTTATGATCACAGTAATTAACCGGCTAAGCTGTATTTAATTTTTAAGCAAAGGTTGATCAATTGTCAGATCACACATAAAAAGCACTTTGGATTGCTATTATCTGTCTCACCGAGACAGCTCTCAGACAGATCCTGAGACGCTCCTGCCTGACATATTTATTTTATTCACGGAAAAAATCAGACTAGTGATTTCTCTTGGTGTTCAGGTTATACATTCAAACAGCACAGCACTCTATTTAAACTACTCACATGTGAATCTGTTATTTGTCCATCCATCCATTCATTTTCATCTGCTTATCCGGAGTCGGGTTACGGGGCAGTAGCCTAAGTCAAGAGGCCCAGACTTCCCTCTCCCCAGACACTTGGGCCAGCTCCTCTGGGGAAATCCCAAGGCGTTCCCTGGCCAGGTCCGCTCCGACAGCTTCTGGCGTTTTTAAAAAGTATCCCAGGGGCACGGTAAGGGTCGGAGATGTTTAATTTATTTAATTTCTGACTAAATAAAACGATTTATTCGGTTTTAAAGTGTGAAGCAAACTCAGACGAAGTAAAATCCAAGCCGATCCCGTTCATTTTGTTTACATTTGTTGCCTGCCAACATGGCGTCTACTCTCTGAAAGTCACGTGACGTCCGGAGCTCTATACCACATAATATACGACTTATACCCCCCCCCCCCACACACACACACACACACACACACACACACACATGTATACATGCATACACACACACACACACACACACACACAGACATATACTTGCATCCACACACACACATCCACACACGTATACATGCATACACATCCACCCCTCCCAAACATGTATACATGCATTCACACACACACACACACACACACACACACACACACACACACACACACACATGCATACACACACACCTACCCACCCACCCACACACACACACACACGTATACATGCATACACACACACACACACACACACACACACACACGTATACATGCATACACACACACACACACACACACGTATACATGCATACACACACACACACACACACACGTATACATGCATACACGTATACATGCATACACACACACACACACACACACGTATACATGCATACACACACACACACACACACACGTATACATGCATACACGTATACATGCATACACACACACACACACGTATACATGCATACACACACACACACACACACACGCACACACGTATACATGCATACACACACACACATGCACACACACACACACGCACACACGTATACATGCATACACATACACACACACACACGCACGCACGTATGCACGCACGCACGCACGCACACACACACACACACGCACGCACACACGTATACATGCATACACACACACACGCACACATGTATACATGCATACACACACACACACGCACGCACACACGCACGCACGCACACACGCACACACAGCAGTGTATCTGTACCTGTGCAGATGAAAAACTTGGACTCTCCAACACTTAATTCCACTTTGTTCAAGGATATGGACACCTGCAGGGCGGCTATGGAGGAGAAGAAAAGAAGAGAAAATATTAGACACAACAAGAAGGACTATTTGTAAAATTGGCCGACAACAAAAGGACGCTGGTTTAAAAAAGAAAAAGCTTCATCAGCAGAGCGGCTTTATTGTGCATCTCCATTTCCTGTAACAAGAATCCATTTTTATAAACAGGAAAAAACCCACAGGCGCTGATGGGAAAAGTTGGTCTTAAATCACAGCTTTACTTTCAGAACTGGGGTTTTCAGACACTCGCTGGTTTTTATTAGACTGTGACACACCTGTCACTCAGGCCTTAAATGAACCAGGACCTTGTGGCTAATGCTGTTTACGTGTATGACTAACGACCTCTGCGGGTGTGGGGACGTCAGCGGGGTATAAAGTACTAAGTGGAGTATTTCCTCTGGAACACACGAGGGACTGGATCATCACCAAACTGGTATAGAACGTTTAAATCACCCTGAGCTACAAAAACACTAAACCCAGTTTAGCTAACAGACATGCAGAGTCCGGCTGTGGTGGCCATCTTGGACTGGGTTGATGTCATTCAGCTGTAGCCTTACACCGGATCACATCAGCTGCAAAGCGGATCGCTCACTAAATTCACCCAAATTCAAAGCAGTATGATGTCACACGTGTTTATCGAAGGAAGAAACGACCAATTAGAAGGAGAGTCAGAATCACAGCGAACTGGAGCAGAGAATGTGTCTAGCTGTGGAATGTGATGATTAATGATTGGCAGCTCGAGGAGGAGAAGGTCATCCTAAGGCCACGGGCTATCCACGCCGCGGCAGTCACACCGCATCGCTGACCGAGGCTGGATTTTTGATGAGTCTGTCATATCTCAGCTCGCCATCTTTCACCCCGCCAGAGCTGCAGTTAGGATCAACACCCCACTTCACACACATGCACACACACATGCATACACCCACACACGCACACACACACACACACACACGCATACACCCCCCCACACCCACACACACACACACACACACATACAGACGCACCCCCCCCCCACACACACACACACATGCATACACACACCCACACACACACATGCACAATCTGAATAACAAACAGATAAATAGATAACGGAGGGAATGATGACATCATTATCAGATCCCCTCAGTGGAGGATGCCTGCAGCAGCCATCCAGTAATCAGTGGGAGTCATCTGCCATGACCCCAGGCTGCCTATAGATGGCAGTGGAGGGTCACATGATCTGACACAGCAGCTGCTTTATCAAGATGATCTGTGGTGTAACTCAGCTACTGTAGCATCAGAGCATCTCTCAGAGTCTGTTCACGTCGGTCCCCTTGCTGCTTCAGAGGTCTCAGACCAATCAAGCTGTTTCTAAACCCGAGTTCACATTATGGTTTCAGCTAGTGAGGAGCAAAGCTGTCACAACCAGAAAATAACCATATTTATTAAACCTATATGTAACCGAGAACATCTGACCTTTGACCCCCTACAGGCCGTTGCTGCTGCACACCCTCCCACATGTCTACCAGTTGTTATTTTAGAGGTCACAACTTTTTCTACTTAGCTCCAGGCAGGATTTTATAGATTTCCCCCTCACATCCATGAAATCCTGATGTGAAAAGTACACTGAGCATTCTCTAGGGTCATCTCTGTCTGACTCTGTCGTCTGGATCACTTCTGCTGCTCACGGAGACGCTGGTGCATCGTTTCAAATCCTGTTCTCAGGTTGATTAATCATGTCTATTTAACCCCGCGCCCTGCTGCAGGGCTGCTTTCGACTTAAGGCACATTCCAATCAGCACTTCAAGTACTTTAAAGGTTTTCAATTATTAATTGATTCCACACCGAAGGTGTGTGTGTGTGTGTGTGTGTGTGTGTGTGTGTGTGTGTGTGTGTGTGTGTGTGTGTGTGATTGATCGTGTAATAAGGCGCTCACCAGCAGGTAGAAGAAAAATGGCCCAACATGTTTTTTCTCCTTGAGTCAGACTGAAACCAGAACAGGAAAATCTAGGATTCGTTTCTTTATCCGTGGTTTTGTTGCACATCACACCGTCTCCGTTGCAAATACACATTGACATTTTAATGAGCTTGTTGAGTGAATTTAAGAAATTACAGGAGAAAATGTGTTTACTCTGCCAGGGGAGACAAACGCAGACGTGCTAATTGCATCAATTTTCCAGACACAGAGCGTTTTTGTTCAACGGGCTTATTAAAGGTGCTCGGGTCAATAAGTTATGAGCCTGGTAACAATTATCAGCTCCAATTATTATCTCCTTTGAGAAGTTCTGGAGACGGCTGAAATAAGACAACAAACAAAAACATTGATTGCCATTTGTAAAGTGTCAGAGATGGTCGATAAGCTAGCTCGCTGCGGCTGCCCCGACAACACGCTGGCTCGAGCGGTTTCAGCATCACAAGAATGTTACAGACTCAAATAAACAAACGTCAGAATTAAGAAATGATAATCAGGCTAAACGTGTGTAGCCGGTTGGTTTGAAGGCCTGATGTGAGATTTAACATAAAAAACGTTTCAAAAATAAAAAATTCATCTGATGAACCATCAGCGAGCTGAGCTGCTCTGTCTGGGTGTGATTACAGCCTCATACAGCAGGGCGGCGCTGTTGAGCAAACCATAACTCAACTTAGGTTCAAATGACCACAAAGGTGGCAGAAGGAGGCCAGCACACATAGGCTAGAAACGGGGAGTTTAAACGACTACGTCTTTGATTTTGTATTTGAACTTGCAGAAGGCTCATGGCTCAGAGTTCAGTGATATCTGTCCTCTGCAGCCTAGCGTGGTTATGGGTGTGAGGTGATATAAGGGTTGTACGCTGAACACGAGTCACTCAACAGGACATGATGACTTAAAATGGGGCAGGGCTCCATAAACATTGTTTTACTTTTAAATTAAAAGTCTTGATGGCGATTTTCATACATAATCTCCATTTCCTCATCTGGATGTGTTCTTGAAGACCAAGTTCTTATTTCTCACCACTGTTTGGTGGGATGAGCAGGGGCGGATTTAGGACTGAAGAAGATCCGGGGCTTAACACACGCGCACGCACGTGCACGCGCACACGCGCACACACGTGACACGCACTAGTCAACATCATATATATATATATATTTGTCTTGTACCACATAATTTTTAATCTGAAGCTACATATTAAGCATATTCAGGGCAGAGTATTGTTCCTGTTAGTGTTTAGTGTGAGATGATAGTAAATATTCCCTTTCTTTCTCCAACAACTTTACCTGATAGTAAGCTAACTTTAGGCAAACCAGCAGCACAACAAATATTTTCAAATAAGACTCACAAACCTGAGTCAACGCCAGTCTCATCAAAGCTGGGGTTCTGTCGTTGTACTTTTGGTCTAAAAAACGTCCTTATGTCCATCTTCACTCATGCGTTTCAGGCAGAGAGTGTAGAAGAAGCCGGCTGCTGAAGGGCTTCTTCTTCAGTGGTGGAGGCTCAGGCAGGCTGTATACAAACTACTGCCAGCTGCGCCCTCTCTGTTGGACTTTGGTACTGCATGTTACTTCTGCGATTTAGATCCGGGGCTTAACATGAAAGATCCGGGGCTTCAGCCCAAGTAGCCGGGCCTAACGCCGCCCCTGGGGATGAGCAGCACTGAGACTCCTGAACACCTCGTGAGTGATGGTGTGGTGCACACATACATCAGTTTTAACCACCATAAGCAGCACAACTACAGTCTAGTCGCATCCTCCCAGCTCGAGGAAAAATCACGGTTTCAAATGTGATCATGAATAATCCGGGTCATTGGAGGGGCACCGCCCTGATCAGGCTCGTCTAAGTAACAGTACCACATCAGTGTCTTTTAGGGTCAGTGGAAGGCAGAGGACCACGAAATGGTAACTGGCCTGTGTTAGTTTAGCACCTTCATAGGGATCTGCAGCCCCCCAAGGCGCTTCACAACACAATCAGTCATTCACACACTGGTGAGGATGAGCTACGATGTAGCCACAGCTGCCCTGGGGCGCACTGACAGAGGCGAGGCTGCTGAGCTCAGGCGCCGCAGGTACGGGGGGTTAGGCGTCTTGTCCAACGACACAATAGCAGAATTCTGCAGCCTTCTGATGACTGGACAACCCACTCTACTCCTGAGCTGCTGCTGCCCATGAGAGCAAACTTCACTAAAATCACTGTTGATAAAATCAGGACTTAAAGAGCGGGTGAGTTCAAAGGGAAAGTGACCAATCAGCTGGCAGGAAGAGAGAATCTGTGACTCCATAGGAAGTTTTATTAAAGCCAGTAATGCACCACAAAGATTACGTAGGAGTGTGTGTGTGTGTGTGTGTGTGTGTGTGTGTGTGTGTGTGTTTTCTACACGTTTTAAGCAAACAGAGCATTTGTGCCCTCAGGCCAGAGATGCTTGGCTCTAATTGGTTGTGATTCTGAGGAGGAATAAAAGGGAATTCTTCCCTTGAGCCACAAAGACAACGAGTAAGTCCGGGTGAAAAAGTAACGCAGAAGACGGCTGCAGATAAAATACTAATTACCATGTTCTGAGTTCAGCTGTATGAGGGTGTTTCTGAGGATGGGCTTGGACCCCACGGAGCAGTCGGATCAGAAAACGGTGGGAGAGGGTGGGACACCGGGAAGAAGAGCTTAATTAGGCTTGCTTACTTTTCTTTTATTGGTCGAAATGGTCTGAAGAATAAAAGGTTTGTTTTTCACAAGCTTCGCTCCTTTCTTTCACAAAGTTGTAATTTTTGGTTTGAGGAAGAGAAGTGTGGGAGCTGAAATTGTGACCAGATCTACCATTCAACAAGATGTCAGCCATGAAGCTTTCCAAGGTCTGATTCAGGGAAAAACTCAAGGAAAGGTTTAAACCCTCACGGCTCTTCGGCGTCCATGTTTTTCCTCAGAGATGGTTCTTCACACACTTCTTCAAACTCACGTTTCCTTTTTATCGTCTGAGAAACAGAACGATTATTCTGGAGAATCAAAAACCAACAACGTGTAAAAACCAGTCCCGTGTCGTCCAAGGCCAGTAC